TTTGTGCGGATGCGACCACGCACTCGATTTACGACAATCACCACCATTTTATGCGTGAAAAGTTTTGTCGCTGCCCGATTTTATTCGGTTTTTTCACCAATTCACACCTGACGCAGGTTGTAATGTACTCACACTGTTTTATTACTTCAATATCTGATAACGTTAAACCCTTAATTATGGAATTTGATGGATGAACAGTGTTATTCGTGAATTTTAAATTAAGTATTAGGGTTTTCATTAATAACTATCAGGTATTAGTAAATATTATTATTTAGTGGCTTGTGTTGACTTTGATTGATGTAATAATTCTAATTTACTTGCAGCTTGATATTTTAATTTGGAATATTTGTACACAGAATGATTCGGGTAATTGGGTCAATTTATATGTATTGTAACTAAGTATTATGTTAGATATTTCATGCTATACGAGGTAACAATTATAATAATTCGTCGTAAGATGAATTATTTCAAATTATATTCGGTTGTGGAGATTTATCATTTCAGAATTCCTAGAAAGTCGAGTGCAGGGTAAAAAGGAACTTTCCACGTTTTTGCTGGTTTCCTGAAGAAATACGAGATAATCACCGTTGAAAGTATCATTTTTATTTATGAAGTCGGTGCCTGAACAATGTTCGTGTGACGGATTAGTATTAATTGCGAAAAAACTGTGTTTTCACGTTGAGTAAGTTCGATCCCTATCAAAGTTCTTACACGAAAGACATACATAATAATTCTGATGACTCGGCAGGAGTCCAGATGTGAATTCAATCGGAAATTTGTGGGTCATTGTTAAAAGAAAAGTTGAAAATGTGGTTAACAGGAAAGTTGGGCTTCTAGAAAGCCCAGTCCGGAGCTGGCATCGCAACGAAAACATCAAAGCAAACCCGTGAAAGTCTGATTAGAGGCATGCCAAATCGCATTAATTAAAAACGAAGGAATGCATACAAAGTAGTGTTTATGGTAACAAAGTGTGAATAAAAGATTGTCCTGAAAACATACCGTTAAGTGTAACATGCTGCTCAATTAAATAACAACATAGTTTCAATTTAAAATAGCTTCCCACTTTTAAGAAACAGTACCAGGAACTGTTGGAGGACTGCAGTAGACAGTATAAACTTACTGTAGACTAAAGATTTCATTAGAAATAAATACTAGTTCAGTGTACAAATGGTAGCCAATTATAGACACATCTATGCTACCGCTAGGAAGTTAAAGCAACTTATAATTTCAATATAAATTAAATAATGAATGTAACACGAATTAAGTCTTCAACGAAATAGATATTTCTTGACTGAAAATATTTTCTTACGATCAATAAACGTTAATAATTAGTAAATGAATTGTTCATAAATCTCAGTGACTAAGTCGAATTTCACAAGATTTTCAGTTTTCAATGCCGAAATATTAATTGCTTCTTTATATACTTTATTTCACATAATTTTTTTACTTTTCATTCTTCAAAATTAACCCCTTTGACAAACAATCAGCACAACCAAAACTAAAGATTCCAATTACAACACATGTATTTCACAGAAGACCAATACAATACTAAAAATCGGAATAACAGAAATCCCAAACTCTCATAAAATATTTTCTCGTTAATGTCATGTCCTGAAAATAGCAGAAATTAGGAAATTTCAACAGAAAACTATCTGAGAAAAAATGAAAATTAATCGATCAATCGAATTCTTCAGTCCTAACCATCAAACGATCTAATTGTACAGTTGTTAGATGACTTGATCTATCGGAACAACCCAGAAGTAAGAAGTCTTTTTCTATTTTACAGTCTTACAGTTACGATTAATTAATCTAATCGTATCAACAAATAGCAAATTATTAGTAATAAAGAAATAAAACCAATCGATCAATCGAATTCTTCGATCCTAACCATCAAATAATCTAGCAGTACAGTACTACGTACGAACAGTTTGAAATTACAGTCCGGTGATTAGGATTCGCGCTAGATAGGATCCCGTCCCCGTTCATCGGCAGTGACGCCGTCGAATGATGTCGTCAGTCCGTTCCCCCTTTCGTTAAACTAGATCGAGTAATTATTTAAAGGGGTCATCGGGTTGTACAACGCAGCGAACTTCATTAGAGAAGGGGGGCAGGCTGCAGCCGGCAGGCGGGAAAGCAGCCGTCGAATGAATTCAAGGTGCGCGTGCAGTGATAACGATAATCCGGTGTAAATCGGGTAGACACGACGACGGTGTTCTGTGAACCACCGGTTGTATCTGGCCTCGTAGCGAGTTTACACGATGATTCTACTCACGCAACACACCTAGCTGTCCGCTGATACTGGCACGTTCGCGTATTTACCCTAGACCGGCCAGCTAGCGTGAAGCCGCGCGCCGCCAGTTGACCGGAATTGTTTAAACGACTTTATAAGTACACGATCCAGAACCACGCGATCCGTCCTCAACGCGTACACGCCTCTTTTTCTAATTGCACACGTTTTCTACGTGATTCGACGAACGTGCCATTCTGCGATTGATTCAGCCCGGCCATTCAGCTTACTTCTTACACTGTGGTTTCTTTCATACATCTGGCGGGTGTAACTATTTTTAATCGTGTTTAAGATCGCATTAACTGATACGGTAGCGACCGTTGGATATATTATACTATTTTTGTGATTAGATAATGATTTGTGTTTGATTTAGAAATTTGATTAAGTTTCCTGTTTCTTTATTAAGTCTTTGTCTTATGAATTTTTTCTAATTGCTGGATCTCAATAGAGTAATTTCGTTAGAACAAGAGGAAAATTTTGTACTTATTCTATGTTTACGTTTACTTAGAAGCATTATAATTAATAATAGAAAAATAATATTCAATTCGAAGTTGAAAGAGTTAGATGATATTTATATTTGTTAAATGCTACTTGAAATCTAAGTGTTAAAGTTGTTCTTGTGGTGAAATAAAAGAGATTCCTGTTTTCTGGTGTAATATAGAAGTAGGTTTTACAAGGATTATTCGCGTATAAAAGATAATTTAGAAAATTCTGGTTTTTTATTTTAAAGTTAGAATTTTTTCATTTTGATTCATTTTGATAAGGATACACTTAAGAGCAGATAACTTTTCTTTTACTCAATCAATATTCAAACGCTGGTTCTAGAGGTGTTCGCAGTTCGTTCCAATACATTACTCATTGAATCTCGTGGAGAAATTATTTTTGCAAAGAACACTTTCATTTACAGTGCCCCAAACTTTCCTCGAAAACACTGTAATATTCATTTCACCTGAGTTTTACGTAAAACTTCAATCTTCGCCATAAAATTAAAGATAATATATTGTAGAAGGACGTCGAAGAAACATAGGCAACGGAGATTAAAATAAATATGTATAATCAATTTGTGAATATATCTGTTACGCGAAGAGTACATGAACCAATGTGCAAGTCACTCAATGACTCTAGATCTTATAATTACTGAATTATCTTCATACTGCCTTAACAGTTTGCCAGTGACGATGAGTCATTCATAAACTACAATTCATTATCAGAAGATGATTCATCTGTTTCAATTGCGCGTAAATCATGAATTGACTGCACACTATGATATTTACATCATATTCTTTAATAAACTAAAATCATAATTTTTATTAATCAATCTTGGATCACGTAATACACAAATGTGCGTTTTTAATATATAAAAGCAAAAATCGAACAAAGTTCACTTTCTATTTTGAATAGTTTGCTAAACATTTTGTTATGTAATTCATTAATAACATTCGGCAGGTGCACGTTATCGATCCCAAGTCGTGGACACTTTAGAAGACACCATTGTATTTATGCCAATATCAGCGAACATAATGATACAATCAGTTACATTCCATTAGGCTTCTCAACGTGCAGGTTATTCGCGGAGGAACGCGAAAAAAATTTCTCCTATATAAGTATATACGAAGCTCCGATCTCGAGAAACGCGACGGAATTTCTGACCGTTACGCGATAAGCTCATTAAGTTGTCTGTCGAAAAACCGGCTAAGAAATCCTCCACCTACGCGGCGTTGATTGCACGACGTTTATCGGTGGAATGCAAGCACCGTTGAGAATGCAAGGTACACCAGTTCGTCGCGTCCAATATTTCTTTCGATTTCTCTCTTCGTACTTTCACCGTTCGCGGCGGCGGTAGTGACGGAAACGAACGTACTATGAGTACATCAACAAATTGCTCAAAAAATGGGAAATTCCAGTGGTATGTTTAATCAAATGAAAATGAGAAAATTCTGTTATTATTCTTTGCGAATGATGTTTAATTAAAGATCAGTTAGAGAAGGTGTCGAATTAATGTACAATAGGCTCCTAAAAATAAATATGTTTTTTATTATTAATTTGCTGCTGATGTGTATATATTCTATTAATATTGTATTCACTGTTAATGGTTTGTTAAAAGTAAAGTATAACGGCGTGTTACATATCCAAAAATATAGGTTTATGAATATTATATCGTTATTATTAATGAAAAATAATAATTTCAACTACAATATCCTCCACAAGCAAATTTAAATAACAATGAAGCTATAGTGCCTAATTTTAATAACGTTCACAGTAATCAGTACTTTAACAAAGCAGAAACCACCCCTTCTACCATACTAGACAAATAATCCCAACTGATTAAACAGTAAAATTATGAAGTTGTATATATTATACCAAAACTTGAATACAACAAACACATAAATGCAAATATTATTTGTCCATATAAATCATCATAAAATATTAGTTAAGTATTATGAACATTCAATCTCTAGGGTAAATGTCCACTTACGATGAGCAACGAATATCTTCCCCTAACGAAATACAGTTTTTCATAGGTAACGAAAAAGTGATTAAATGGTCGATTAAAATCCTGATTTCCGTGAATTCCAACCGGAGATCAAGTGTCCGTGAAAGTGACGCGACGGTTTTTAGCTACCCTGTACGTCTGACGAGCCGGCGAATCACGTGGGTGGCTCAATGGCGGTCTTTACGCGAATAAAAGAATTTGCCGGCGCACTTCACTTACCCCTTCGTAGCTTCAGGGTGACGGGGTCCGACGAGAGCCGCAAACATTTCAGCACTGAAACAGAAAACGAACCGTGGAATGGAGAGAGGAAGAGGAAGAGCGCGGAGACGAAGGGATGCGACCGCGAAAGAACCGGCCCGACCGACCAACCACCGCGAATGTGCCTGGAAAACCGACTGGAATGGGAATTATGTGGATCGAGGTGTCGCGTGCTGCTCACCCAGGAATTTAGAGACCCTTCTGCCGGCGTTGAGATAGGTCGGGCCGGTTACTGTCGTGGATAAAGGCGTTATTCTATTATGTAATTCCTCGAGAAGTGTTACCTGCCCGGCTCCATTTTAACCCTTTATCGCTCGCCGGTGCGCAATGTTGGGCATTATTTCTATGAAACTGTATTTGTTTTGCATGAGTAGTTTTAAATAGTAAAAACTATTATTCAAGTAAAATTATATGTGTTTCGTTTGAGTAGTTTTGAGTAATAGGACTATTATTCGAAGTAACTATATTTGTTTTGTTTGAGTAGTTTTGGATAATAAAACTATTATTTTGATAAACTGTATTTGTATTGTTTGAGTAGTTTTGAGTAATAAAATTATTATTCGAATGAAATATATTTGTTTTGTTTGAGCAGTAATAAATTTATTATTCGAGTAAACTACAATATATTTGAATGAAACAATAACGAATCAGTAATTAACACATTAATGTCCGGTGACATAGGAGTATGGACTTCATTGGTTGCCCGTGAAATGCTGGAGACGTAATACTTTGTACTCCAGAAGCGCTTCCTAATCACTAATTGAATTGACACAGGAAGATTTTAAAGTTTGTTATTTAATATTTAACTTGGTATAGTGGGTCAATACGTGAAATATTAAAATAAAATAGTTTTGTTCCTCAATTCGATCAGAAAATGTTGAGTAGTTCCAGTGAAACATTTATAGAGTACAAAAGAGTAAATATGTATGGCAATATATATGCTAAAAATATTATTTCTTGTCGACTAGACTAATACTGCGTGATTTGATAATATTCAAATGATCTCTTTCCGCGCGAACAGTCTGGACTGTAATGTGTTAATTGTTATTCAGTTATCCGTTGTTTGACACTAAACGTAACAGCACTTTATATAATTATATATAATTGCACCTATCGTGACCGTCAAACATCTGGTCATAAAACATAAATAAACAAATTAAACGATACATTTTTTAGTGAAAACAGAAACAGAAGAGAGACAAAATTGAAAAACTGATCAATGGGAAAATATAAGAATTAATATAAAATTAAGTGGGCGAAATAAAATGTCGAATTTTTAATCAAATTTAAAAACTGATTATTTAACCAGTCGTGATGTGTTTAATGTTAAATTATTCGTTATTCATGTCGGGAACATTTAGTCGTTATTTTTAATCAACGGAAAAAGACAATTATTGAAGTGGAAATTGAATACTAAAAACGATAAAAAATTCTATTAAATCCAGTTTCCTCCAAAGGAAAAATTATATATGTACATTTCACGTAGTTTTTATTGACTGCAATTTGAATGAATTATTTATATTTTCTTTAAGTGTTTATAGAGGTATTGTTTTGTGTCCTTATTCTCACAGAAAACAGACGTTTAATAGATCGCAAGGTTATAGATTGCAGACGAAGGTTACATAAATGAATGACTACGTGAAACGCATCTCGTGATGATACAGGTATTGTTTGCTCACGTATGCGATTTTCCGACGTGTTATCCAATTCAATTTCGATGGCCATTACATGTTACCTAATTTCGCCGGACAGACTCATGGATACAATTAAAAATACGGAATTTCATTAAAGGGAAAACGCAATCACAGTGAAACGAGCATCGCATCGCGAACGTCGTAACGATACTGCGCGAATTATTCAATAAATTTCCTACCCAATTTTAAATCGATATTACTTACAAAACCAAATTTGATTAAAATGTCACGTCGCTTCAATCATCAACAATTCCAACAGTACCAATTAAAAACGGAATATATTCAATAACTTCATCTGTACAAATACAATACAAACACCTGAGTAAATAACGCAGACGCAGAATAAATGCAAACAGAATATTGCAGTTAGATTCCGCGTTTAATTCTTTTAAATTACTCTTGCATTATCCACGGATCAACAATACAATATGCCTATTATGCATTTAATCAATTTTAATCCGAACATATTATCTACTTTCAAACTTCCTCGCGTGAAGATGAAACGAAGATGAAACGGGAAAGAAAGAAACAAGGAACGAAGTGAATTTATTATCTTCCCATTTAGCAATTTCATGTTCATAAAATTTCCAGGAAACGTATACTGTTCACGGAGTAACATAACAGTACAATAAAACAGTCGCATAAATCCCTAATAAATTAGGAACCGTATTAACAATGAACTTCCGTGATTAATAAATAATTTCCCGACAGTCACGTGACATTCTCACGGTAAGTATCATTGCGTGAATATCCTCGCCGCGCGTGGTTCACGCGATATCCTACGGCCAGCGTGCATTTCAATAAATCCCAATGAATTGGACGTTTGTTCGGGAATTATTACCGATTTCGTGCGACTTCATGGCCCCAAATGCGGTTCCGCATGCTGTTTTTCACGCCCGATCGCGATTTTGATTGGCCTTCGGTGGAATCGGCCTTCCCGATGAGAGATTAAAGCATAAACGGGATCGACTTTCACCCGATCGCGGTCCGAGTCGATTCAGTACGATGAATTGATCGCGATTACGG